TAACCCAAATTTTGAGGGTTGGGTTAGGGGTTCAACAACTCAGGTTAGGTTTAGAAGTGGCAATTCTACAAGAATTTTTTGGGATGTGTTTGAATTTTAACCTTAGGGTACCTAGTATTTGAACCCAATTATATTATATTTAACGTGGGTACCCATTCGCAACACCCAATTATAAATCCATATATATATATATTAAATATATCTTATTTATTTTATAAGAAATAATATATCTAGCAAAAAGAGTTAAGAGAGGATTGAAACCCTTGTCCTTGTATCCTATTAGAGGTATCTTTTGCACGAGTATATTATACCATTTCACATTTTGTTTATATGATGTAAAATCAAGTGTGAGGTTCAAAGTATCAAAAAATGTAAAGAATATTGAAGAGGCACTTTAAAGAAATGTATCTAAATTTTGGATACGCTTTGGATACACTTAAATATAGTGGAAAAATTAAGATAGGCATGGATATACAATGGAAGTTAAAATATATATTAAAAATTGAATTATACATAATGTATAGCTCTAATAACTCTATACATAAAAACATGTATTTTAATAGTTAGCATAACAAATAATGTAATTTTACCATGTATAGCTCTATAACTTTATATGAAGTGTAATTTTACCATAAAAGCGGAAAGTGTAAAACCATCTTAATGTCAAGGAAAAGTTAGCATAACAAATAATGTAACTAATATGGTTAGTTATTTATGCCAATTTAGTAAGGCATTGATGTTGTGGAGTAGTAGGTTAGAATACGTATGGTCGGAGTAAGCAATTTGAGTTCACTCAAGTCCCTTTAGCAGTATACTATTTTTATAAAAGATTGGTTTCAAAATAGACTTAATAAAATTAATTATATAAAAGAGAGAAATAATGTAACTAATTAATATTATAAGTAATGCCTTAAATAATAGGGTCCTACTATGATATGGAAAAGATATGATATCCAAAAAAACAGCTAACCAATAAACTCGAATCATAAGGGTGGTAATAAATCATGTGTTATTTATCAAAATTCATGAGTGGGTTTTGATCGATCAAAACTAGTGTTTTAAAAACCGACCTGAAGGTCAAATCGTTTTTGCCTCTGGGTCATGGGCCACTGGTTTGACCATCTAAGTTGGACCGATCAGACCATGCCACGTTAGCCATATGGAAGTTCAATATAGATAGATAGATAGATAGATAGATAGATAGATAGATAGATATGTGTGTGTAGGTATATATAAATCAATGTTTTTAAACCATCGTTGACCCGTACAGTCAGACCGTTTGGCCCAGAAACCGTCCAAGCAACTGGTTCTGTTTCACCCCAAACCCGTTCTTGGATCAAAAAACGTTGACTTGGTCAGAAAACCGTTGACCCGGACAATGGTTCTAACCCAGGAACTCCCTTCTTCGTCAGAAAACATATGAACTCAGATCTGAGTTCGTGTCTCAGTTGTCTCATATCTGAGTCTGTCTCAGATTTGAGGAAGAAGAAGAAGAAGAGAGAGAGAGAGAGAGAGAGAGAGAGAGAGAGAGAAGAAGAAGAAGAAGAAGAAGAAGAAGAAGAAGATCTGAGAACTCAAATCTGTGTATGTTGCCGCCACCTCGCCATTGCCATTATTGTCGCCAGTGAGCGTCAAACCACCCTCCTCTTCCTTCTTCTTCCCTCCTTCCTTTCCTTTCTCTTCTTTTCTTTTTTCCTTTCTCCTTTTGCCGACAACATCTCCTCTCCTTTCTCAAATCTCATAACTCATATAAAATAGTTGCCCTAAATATACAAATCGTCCGAACCGTTCGACCCAGACTAGAACAATTCCGTTTCCGTATCAGTTTTTAAAAACCTAGATATAAATACGTATTTTATCAATAAATAATATATAATTATATTTTGCATATAATATATGAAATATTTTATATTTAGTTTATATATTTTTTAATTCAGACTTCAATTTTTTATTTGTATAAAATATTAAAAATTATAATTTGAGGTAAGAAAAGTTTCTTTTTTCGAAAAACAAAAAAAAACAAAAGAAGCAACGCCGATCTCGAAAAATTGGCCTCCTGAAATTTGCATACATATTTAGCCCATGTTTGATTCGCTGCCAATCATCTCATTCTTTTAATTCTTGCCGATTCTGAACAGGAATGAATGAGATGTAGGTGTTTGGATATTTATTTCTTGCCGCAAGACTCATTCCTACCAGAAAAGTTTGTGGCACGAATTTCGTGCCCCATCTCTCGACTTGAAGTCTCTAAACCCTCGTCCCTCTCTCTGTACAAGGTAAACCTCGTCCCTCTCTCTGTACTAGGTAAACTCTCGTCCCTCTCTCTGCTGAGGCATCTCGATCTGGTAAAGTCTGTACAAGGTAAAACTAATCGACTCTCTCTCTCTCTGTACAAGGTAAATTCTCTCTCTCTTCGTCTTCTTCTTTTTCTTTCTCGTCTTCTTCTTCATTTCCTTCTCAAGCTGCGCACCGAAGATGGATACCTCTTCCTCCTCCTTCTTATTTTTCTTCTTCGTTTTCTTACTCTGTTTTTCCCCCTTTTAGGTTGACCACCAATACCATCCCTCTAAGCATTAAAAAAAAGCACCATCTATTTGATCAATTTTGTCTCTTCATTATTTTACTTATTGGTATTTGTGTGTTCGAATTATTATGGAATTTATACATTTTTTAAGTATAAATTATTGTTGTTATTTTCCTTATTGCTTTGCTGTTATTTTTCTGCCATTGTTTATCTTGATCTTATTGCTTTGCTTTTTTATGTTTGACGTTTTCCATAGTTAATTTGCACTAATACAATTAAGAGTTTCTTCGATCGCTAACCATCCATTTAGAAGTTGGAAAGACAACTCCTGGAACTAGAAGCTTAAGATACCCATGGTTTTGGGTTGGCCGCTGAAAACTGCTAATCCATTATTTTGCCATTAATGACATACTTAAACAGTTAACGCTTATTTCAAGTGGTTTATCAGTTAAGCAGTCTGCTCTGAGCTGACCGCTGAGCTAGCTTTGTCATTAGGCAGCCCTGAGATTAATTTATGGTTAAAAAGTTGACCGCCCTTTAATTTAGAGTCTGGTATGGTTGAATGAATTTGATCAGCTGAAAACTAAGGTAAGCTTCGCAAATATTTTATTGCCGTATAAAGAAATTATTTAAAAAAAAAACATTTGATTCTAGTAATATTTTTTCATTCTTTTTATTTTTATTTTTTTTTATCTTGGAATTTTATCATGAATAAGAATGAAAAAGAATAAAAATTGAACCAAATAGGATTTTTGTATGCAACCTACAACCCCGTCACCAGCAACAATCTAATCGTTCAGATCAAGTGATTTTTTAACCTTCTTCAAGTTTTACTCAAACCGAATCCAAAATCTTGATGGAATAACGATTCGAACGATTCAATCAGCCGAATCAACAATGGGTTGAAAAACTGGTGAAAACTGTTTCCATACGATATCTTTACCGGATCATAGATTTTTATGGAGTCAATTTGGGGTTTGATATCAAGGGTATAAGACGGGTTTGGCGATGGAAAGGAAAATTTTGGCGGGTATCCTACCCATTGCCATTGCTGAGTACAGAGTACCCAAGTGATCTAACCCGACCCGACGTGCACTTGTAATCGCAAGCGTTCACGAATGGAGGTGTGCGCACCGACCCACACGACCTGCAGCAGGCGTGCATCGGGAAACATCAAACATCTACCAGTGTGAGGTGTGATCAGGGAGCAGTTCCGGATTCTCTCGGATGCTTGCTCATCTAACACTGTCATTTCTGGGGTCGCACATGAGATGTGCGGCTGTAACGTCTTGTGGGTTCCAGATCCTTACACATGCACAATGATGAAAGCCAGTGAGGTTATCACCCTACGTCATTCCGAAGATCTTTCTTTTTTAATGACCTCAGAGGAGAGCCAAAGCCAATATCCTCGTGTGAATAAAAAAATGGTTCCAATCTGACGACTTTTAACAATGGCATTTTACAGAAGAACAGAAGTGCCCTCGTGGATAGGAGATACAAAGAAATCGGGGGCGCCCCCAGGTTTTGCCGTTTTGGCAAAGTCTTCCTGTTTTTTTGAGTAAACTGGAGAATCGTTCGGATTTCGGGAATCGGAAGTCGAAGGGAGACGACTGACAGCACTGCAGCTGCACAGGCTTTGCCCGAACGAGTGGGCCCCAGCAAATCCACGAGACGAGAAACACCATTTCTCTTTCTTTCTTTCTTTCTTTCCCTTTTGGACGATGGATTGGTGGTGATTCCGCCACATGAATTTTCCGGCAAGTACGTAACGTAATTTTCCGCCAACGGTATTTACACGTGCAACACACTGCCCCCACGTTTTTTTCCTGAAACCCTAGGGGTGACCGACAACTTACGATCAGCAGTGGCGCAACATCGCACAATGAATTAATAAATGATTCCAGAGATTGGCAGATTGCCCCGCTCTCCTTGCGGGTCACTCTCCGGTTCCCTCGTCGAATCTTTGTTAAACCAGGCGAGTTTTCATTCCATCCCTGGACCCTGGTTAACTGGTTTGTTTTGTTGGTTTCGTTTTTATAAAGACCACAGAGTTCTTCCTTTATTGTTTTGATGTTTGATGGGATGGGAATGGGTTGGGATACTCCCTTCCTTCCAACCTCTGACAAATAGCCGTTTTTGTACTTTTCTTACCTTTTCAAGGAAACCACAAACCTACTTCTTTGCTCTCTCTCTCTCTCTCCGTCATCCACATCCAATCTACCTCTAATCGAGAATAACGGGCATTGGGGATTCCGCTTTCCAGATCAATTTCTCGGAATATCGTTGTTCAGGTAATTCTCCTCGTCTTGGAGATTTCTTTTATTTATTTATTTATTTAATTCTTCTGTTTCTCAATTGTCTGTTCATTTGGGGGTTTTGTTTGATGTAACAGTCCTGATTCCCGAAGTCTTGATACAGGATATGATCTCCTCAAACTCGACAACCTGACTCAGTCTTGTTGGGTTGAGTCCCCAGTTCGAGGTAATCCTCTTCCAAGTTTGCATAATCCTAACTCGCTGTACATTGTCTTCTGCAGCGGTTGATCAGGCCGAGTTGAGTTGAGTCAACTCCTCTTTTTAGTCTTATACGTATTCAGTCGAGTTTATAAACACTTTTTTCTTGATCTTGCAATGTATGTTGTACCTTTTGACGGAGAACAAGGACATTGAATGGTGTGTGATATTCCGGATTCCGGATGGGATCCACCATTCCTGGAAATTAGGAACCAATTGATGTATTAAAGCTCATATAGCTCGATATCCATTTTTTTAGCATTAAAATCATCTCTATGCCAAACAATGTGGCCATCTTATATAACTTCATGCCTTTTCACTGCTAATAATTCTTTGTTAGATGCTCCGAAAAAGAAACAACGAAGAGAGAATAAAATAGAAAATATATTGATCATGATAGCAACTTTGAAGTTTGAAAATGCAGAGCAGCTCGATGACTTGTATAGATTATAAACTTAATCAGGATAGGAACTTTGGAAACATTAATTTTGAATTGAAATTTAAGTTGTTTCGACTGAAACTGTTACTTTGATCTGTATATTATATTAAGTGACTTTATGATCCAAACCCAACCTATATTAGGCACCAGAAGATCACACATTCAAACGTTCTGTTGTATTAGATAGATCATGTTAAACTTGAGCTCTCCACTGGTTGGTTTAACTCCCCCCACCCACCCAAAATTGTGTGTTTTGAATTGCCAACTGTTATTCATTACAATGAATCCCATAGTTGACAATGTAATGGTTGTGATCTGGGTACAAAATTAGTCAGGTGGATATAGGAAAAAAAACTAGCATAGCTATTATCCCAGTGCTGCTGTTTTCATAAGAATCTTTTTGGCTTTTTCTGTCCAGTTACGATGAAAACTGTAAAGGGAGCACGCTTGGAGCAACATGGTATAAAAGGTCAAATGAGGAGAATCCGAAAAATCTCAAGTTCTGTTGGGTGTTCAACAAAGAAAACATTACAGGAACTCTTGGAGGCTGAAGGTAAAGAAAAATCACTAGAAGAACAATTAAAAGAACAGAATTTAGTTAAGAAAAAAGCCAGAACCCAAGTAATCAGGTTTTCAGCTGTTGATAGAATTCTGGATAAGAAAATGTTTCGAAGAAAGAGGACCATCAATAAGAAGAAAGATCTCTGTGATGAATATGAAGAGGATATAGTTTTGATAAAGAAGAGAGCACGTAGGGGCTATAGAGGTTCTCATGTTGTGAGAAAGGCCAGAAGTTTGAAAGAAAAAGTAGAGAGAGATTCTGATCCCAGAATTTTTTCATATGTATCTTCTTCACCATCATCTCCATCCTCTTCTCCTTCATCCTCAGTTACAGTTTTGAATGGTTATGGAAGTAATGCCCAGAGATACGCTTCATGGCAAGAAAAGGCAAGCAACCACTCTTAAGTCTTTTACCATTCTTTTGTTTCCATGTGGTTTGCTATGTATTTCCCTTCTATTACTGAAGGTTCCTGGTTCTAGGATTTGTTCCAAAAGCGGAGAAAGAAACAAAAGGGCATAAGATGCTGCCATCAGTGCAAAAGAAAAGATAGACTAATGTTCATTCCGTGCTACAAGTGTAAGGAGAAACTGTACTGTCTCCAATGCATTAAAAAATGGTGAGCTTCTCTAATCATTTTCCTTCTTCCCCTCTAGATACAAGTTTTCAATTCTAGGAATCTGTCAACATCATTCCACTTTTACAAATTATGCGCAATATCACCTGTATGATCTTTATTATGCTCCCGTTGTGATTTTCTTTTTCCTCTTAACAGGTATCCTCAGATGTCATCCAAAGAAGTTGCAGAAAATTGCCCTTTCTGCCGTGGGAATTGCAACTGTACTGCATGTTTGCATATCAGTGGAAATCTTAAGGTATGTTCTTGTTTTACTCTACCAAAAAGAGAATTTTGATTTCCATGTTCTTGGGCAATGTTCTGATACTATCTCTTTCATTGTTTATTTTTTTAGATCTCACAGAGAGAGATTACACATCAAAAGGCCCACCGCACTCAGTATTTGATCCACTGTCTCCTTCCCTTTCTGAAAAAAATACACAGTGAACAATATAAGGAAATGAAAATCGAGGCTAGAATTCAAGGTGTTGATTTTACAACATTGAATTTTAGTGGTCTTCTGAGACTCTTTAATTATTAACATATCATTTGCTTACTCAGGGTTAACCTTATCTGAAATTGAATTGCCACTAGCCAATTGTCGCAATGATGAGCGTGTATACTGGTATACATTTCTTCTTTGCTTGGAGTATCTCATTCTATATTTTGCATTCTCTTGTTTTATCCAGTTTACAGATTCATTCCTGATTGTGCAACAGTGACAATTGTGCCACTTCAATTGCTGATCTTCATAGAAGTTGCCCGAACTGCTCTTATGAACTCTGTCTTAGTTGTTGCCGGGAACTCCGTGAGGAAAACCTGTTAGGAGGTCCCCAAGAAGTTTTTATCCATTATCCGAACAGAGGATATGATTACATTCATGGTGGAGACCCTCTTCCAGGTTCTACTTTTGTGAAGAGATCTACAGATCATCTTGATATGTTGAATGAATGGAAAGCCAATGATGATGGAAGCATTGCTTGTCCCCCAAAGGAATTGGGTGGCTGTGGATATGACAGAATGGACCTTAAGCAAATTTTTCCAAAAGATTGGGTTTCAGATTTAGTAGCAGAAGCAGAAGAAATAGCAAGGAGATACAGGGTTGAACAACCTTACAAGAAAAACTACCACAGGGGTGCCGAGATGTTAAGGAAAGCAGCTTCCAGAAAAGACTCCAAGGACAATTATTTATACTGTCCATCTGCAAGAGACATTCTTAAGGAGGAGGAACTAGTAAACTTCCAGATACATTGGGTCAATGGTGAACCTGTTATTGTTCGAAATGTGCTTGAGCAGACATCTGGCTTGAGCTGGGAGCCAATGGTCATGTGGCGTGCATTATGTGACAATATGGATACAAACAATGGATCAAAACTGTCTCAAGTAAAAGCCATTGACTGTCTAGCTGGTTGTGAGGTTAGCTTTCCCAACTTTTGACTTAAACAATGTTGGATGATTGTAGTGTAACTGCGTAGGCTTTGGTGTGTAATATGAATCATTTAAATTGTCATTGTTGTACACTGAATTTAGTAATGTTCTGCAGGTTAAGATTAACACCTACCAGTTTTTCAAAGGGTATATGGAAGGTAGAACATATGATAATTTATGGCCTGAGATGCTCAAGCTAAAGGACTGGCCTCCATCTGATAAATTTGAGGATCTCTTACCACGCCATTGTGATGAATTTATCAGTGCATTGCCTTTCCAGGAATACACAAATCCTAAATCTGGTTTACTTAATCTTGCTGTAAAACTACCACAGGATACCTTAAAGCCAGACTTAGGGCCAAAAACTTATATAGCTTATGGGATTGCCGAAGAGCTTGGAAGAGGGGATTCCGTGACTAAGCTTCATTGTGATCTATCAGATGCGGTAATGTTTAATTGCAATTTCACATGCCTATGCCATCTGATATTTCGATGTTTCACAAAACTTCCTGTTGCTTAAGCATGACTTTGAATTTATCTAATTGAAACTGCATTTCTAGCAGACTTGTTTCCTGTCATCAAATGAATATAAGTAAGCGTTCTATACAGGTCCCTATCTTGCTTTTCTCTATGTTTAGTGCTCATTGTAACCCCTAGCACCACTAGAGCCAGGCTTGGTGCTGCCTGAGGATCTTCATTGAAAAAGAAATAGAAAATAGATAAAAAAAAAACTCAGATACATCCCCCCCTCTCTCTCTCTCTATGCATGCACACCCAATGTACTAACATGCTTAGGCATGGGTCAAGGACGAATATCATATACATACTGAAAAATGTTCAATTAGATATACAAAAGGTGCCATCAATATAGGTGTAATGTAGGTCTTGTTGCACGGCACGAAAGTGCAGGGAGGGGCCCAGCACAGGCCTGGGCCAGCATGATTTTTCTTTTTTTATGAAGAAAAAATACAGAATATGTGGGTTGTGCCAAGCACAGTCCATGGGCAG